TTGGACAATCCGTCTACCTCTATAAACTATTGGACAATCCGTCTACCTCTATAAACTATTGGACAATCTGTCTACCTCTATAAACTATTGGACAATCCTTCTACCTCTATAAACTATTGGACAATCCGTCTACCTCTATAAACTTTTGGACAATCCGTCTACCTCTATAAACTATTGGACAATCCGTCTACCTCTATAAACTATTGGACAATTCTTCTTCCTCTATAAACTATTGGACAATCCTTCTACCTCTATAAACTATTGGACAATCCGTCTACCTCTATAAACTATCAACACATATCACAGCCTTTAACACCCAAAAAAGTTAATCATATTTACACTGAAATACCTTCCACCTTAACACATTGAGCAAACAAAATCTACCTTAACACATTGAGCCAACTAAATCTACCTTCACACAGTGAGCTATCTTAATCTACCTTAACACACTGAGCCAACAAAATCTACCTTAACACATTGAGCCAACTAAATCTACCTTCACACCGTGAGCTATCTTAATCTGCCTTAACACACTGAGCCAACAAAATCTACATTCACCCATTGAGCTATCTTAATCTACCTTAACACATTGAGCTAACTAAATCTACCTTAACACACTGAGCCAACTAAATCTACCTTAACACACTGAACCAACTAAATCTACCTTGACACACTGAGCCAACTAAATCTACATTAACACACTGAGCCAACAAAATCTACCTTCACCCATTGAGCTATCTTAATCTACCTTAACACATTGAGCTAACTAAATCTACCTTAACACACTGAGCCAACTAAATCTACCTTCACACAGTGAGCCAACAAAATCTACCTTAACACACTAAACCAACTAAATCTACCTTGACACACTGAACCAACTAAATCTACCTTCACACATTGAGCCAACTAAATCTACCTTCACACAGTGAGCCAACTAAATCTATCTTCACACATTGAGCCAACTAAATCTACCTTCACACAGTGAGCCAACTAAATCTACATTAACACACTGAGCCAACTAAATCTATCTTCACACATTGAGCCAACTAAATCTACCTTCACAAACTGAGCCAACTAAATCTACATTAACACACTGAGCCAACAAAATCTACCTTCACACCGTGAGCCAACTAAATCTACCGTCACACAGTGAGCCAACTAAATATACCTTCACACAGTGAGCCAACCAAATCTACCTTCACACAGTGCGCCAACTAAATCTACCTTCACACAGTGAGCCAACAAAATCTACCTTCACACATTGAGCCAAATTAATCTACCTTCACACATTGAGCCAACTAAATCTATCTTCACATACTGAACCAACTAAATCTACCTTAACACTCTGAGCCAACAAAATCTACCTTCACACAGTGAGCCAACTAAATCTACCTTCACACACTGAGCCAACTAAATTTACCTTCACAAACTGAGCCAACTAAATCTACCTTCACACAGTGAGCCAACAAAATCTACCTTCACACATTGAGCCAACAAAATCTACCTTCACACATGGAGCCAACTAAATTTACCTTCACACAGTGAACCAACTCTCATACCTTTCACGGAGTTTTCAAAATAACATTGAGAAAGGTTGGAAGTATCTTTGGTGAAAATTTGTAGCCGTTTTTTTGCTGTTAAATTTTTGATAATGTAATTAAGCGTAAAGCACTAAATTTACAGACTCCAGGCATGTGATGAAATGACAGCCAGGGGCGTATCTAGGATATTTGAAAGAGGGGGTGTATAATCAAATCTGTCGCCGAGCAGAGCGAGGCTAAAAATTTGGACCTTTTTTTTGCTAAAAAACATAAAATAATTGTGAAATGCACTAATGTAACGGTTCCTGACTTGGAGCATGTATATTTTATAGTTAAAGTGTCAGGGTTTGACATTTTTTATGCCGAATTCTCTCCATTAATTGTCTATGGTATATTAAAATGATTGGATGGATCTTAACAGCAGTAGACCAATAACGAGAAATTCCAAATTCTAGGGTATAAGGCGTTACTTAACATTTCAATAGTCCTAGGCCAGGATTTTATGAACGGGAGGCGTAATTACGGTTGCCCTGGTAGAGGGTCCATGGGGAAGCTCAGAAG